TTCAAATGGGTGGTAAAAACTATTCAGTGGAGCTTATTCAATTTTAATGACCTCAGTTATCTTATGAATGGCGTTTTACCTTTGTAAAAAAGAAGCAATTTTCTCCAACCTGGAGCGGGTTGTTTTAACAAACACTCGCTTTGTGCCGTATTTTATTCATCTTGCCGGTACCCTTTGGCCAGACTGGTCCTTTTCTGCTCTCGCACGATATTTTTTTTAGAATTCTTTTAGACGTTTTCACACTAAAGTGCCCGCAAGCTGTCTGAAGGTACTCGACTATATAAGAGCGCTTAAAGACTCTGTGAGATGCAATTTCATCCAAGCCACATCTAAGTGATCGCTGTGTTGTTGTTTTCGTTAAAAATGACGAAAACAGAAAGCCCATCGCTTACGAAAAGAGAACAAAGCCCCAAGGTTTTTCTTGTGATTAAGCGTGCAGGTTCTGTTCGCTCAAATTGTTAACATTTGTGCACGCAAACCCGGGGATATTTAGTGTTAAAAGTCTGTCCTTCTTTTAGCAGTTGAACACCAACATAGCGCTAACTCGCCGAAAACGCCTCAAAATGGCCTGAGACGTTAGGAATCGACAAAGAAAACAACAAGGCAATATTTTAAGTCCATTTTATTTCAAAACAAGAAATTTTTTTCTCTCTTTTAAGGCAAACCGATGACATCCCATACAAACCTTTATAAATATAAAGCGTTGCGCAACGCGGTAAGAGTCACGTCCGCTTTTCTAGTAGTGAGCTTGGGCTGCCTGTGCGTCACCTCATTTAACGATCGTTGCATTTAGCTCAGTTCAAAGCGTACGCAATATAATCTAATTTAGCTATTTTGTTTGACTCATCTCTAAACTGCTATCACCTTATTTTTCACGCTTTATAGCTGTGAACGAGAGAGGCGAAGGTTTGTTCGATCACATATTACTATTAAGTTTAGCTAGGGACTCGACCACTCATCTTTTGAATCAAGACTTACATATTGAATAAAGGCTGATAGTTTCGAAAGAAACTGTTTGGGGCTGCGTCGGTTGGGGTAACGAAATAATCTGGATATATCAACAAAGTTGAAATGGTAAATTGGCCACCGTAACGATTACAAAAGCTGACGTTTCGAGCGTTAGCCATTCGCTCCGACGAAGGGCTAACGCTCGAAACGTCAGCTTTTGTAATCGTTACGGTATCCTTACATATTGAAGCTTGGTATGAAAATTCAGGTGTGACACCTAATCTTGTCTTTTCAGCCTCCTCGATCGAAGACGTCTGACGCAATCACTCAATCCTTGATGGCTAATTGAGGGATTGATTGAAAGGAAAACGTTAGTATGCTGTTGCTCTGGCGCCCGACAGCTAAACTCAGAGGAAAACTTGCCCATTGTCTATAGTTCTTTGGTTACGTACCAGTAGATGCAGTCGAAGATCTCGTGAGCGACCACCCCAGGAATTCGAAAAAGTGGTCGCAAGTAAAGCTGTTCGCTTTGGAGAGTGGGCTCTCGAAAACAACAAAAATTATAAACAATAGGGGTGGTCGTTTACGAGAGTTTTCAGCAAAAGCGTTTGGGATTTGTAAATTCTCATTAATTGTGCAGATGAGTACCTGATGTGCCAAAGTATCCCTACAAATTACAGTACATGCGGTTTCGCTTAAATATTTTAAACTTTAGACTTAGTGGTCGCTTACGAGAGCTTTCATACAAGAGAGTTTATTAAGTGACATTTAAGCGGGATTTTACATTGGTGGTAGCAACTAAAACTGATTGTTTACGGGAGCGGTCGCAGGGAGAGCTTCGACTGTATTTCACTCTAAGAATTTCGGTTCGTATTCAATATTAAGAGACACTGTACTTTTTCCTTACCAAAAATGGCAAGAACGTGACTCTGTATCGCAGATTAATTTTAGAGGGCGTAGGAAGGTAATATGGCTCAACCGCAACCACAACATAAATTTCCGCAATGTGGTGCGGAAAGGAAGACCTTGAACACGTATCAAAAGTTTCGTGACTCGGTGCTATTGTTAGAGGTCTGTATTAGAAAGGGAAAATATTTTCACAAACACCTTATTGCGGTTACAAATGTCTCATCAGCGTCTTGCGTTATCTTCGCGGAAATGATGATCGGAAACCGGAAAAAGTTGGACCGCGGAATCGGGAAACTGACAGAAGTCTAGGAAACTACTGTCTCGGAAACGGAATGCCTTTTATCACAATACATTTGAGTAAGAAAGAGCAGAATCACACTTTTGTTAAGAAAAAACTGAAAATGTATACTTTTAAAACTACGACCAATACTTGAAATCTTCCTCTTTGAGTGCTGGAGCAAGAGCGCAACTCTAACTTTGTGCAAAAGAGTTTTCGCTTTGTTAAACTGTAATTATCTGTCATGGGTCTCGTGTAAATTCTCAATTAAATTTCCAACAGTCAATGAGTATTCGCAAATTAGCGGCACAACGACTAATATTTCGCTAACTACAGGCCATTTAATATATAGTTTGTTCAAATGGCAGCTGGAGTTGCACAAGAAACGTCAGATTGTCAATTAATATCTCCCCGTGATTAATTTCTGCAAGGTATGGATCCTTACAATTAAGTGAGACAGCAAAAGTTGTGACAGAGAAAAGAGAGCCAGCGTTGGGTTTTCCATATTAGGCGAATATGTGACGAAGGGAGACTGGGTAATTGAAACTCGATTGGTTACCTTGTGCGTCAGGTGTTAATCTTTTTTTTTCTTCCCGGTTCCCAGACGTCTCTTTGTTCTTCGCCTTAAAGCTCGTCATTAGTCCATCACGTGTACTGCTGGATTTTTTAGTCGTTCAGTAGAGTTTACGCGAGTTTATGTGCGTTTTGTACTTTTTCTGGTGACAATTCCAAATGAATAGTGCACAAAGTCTAAATGACACAGTTTGAAGGCAGCCGTGAGTAATTAACAGTGTTGTCACCCGTTTTTCTGCTTGGTAATGAAGATGTTAGGTCAAGATTTTGTGAAAACATATTCACTAATTTATAGTTTGAATGTGTTAAAAATTTACGGTTTACAGCCCAGCAAGTAGAAATGTGCCAACATAACACCATTTTTTCTTAAATAGGTTAAAAGAACTGTAAGAGACAACTACCGTAAGGTTCCGCAAACATCAAACGTGTGTGAATTGGCAGAGAAGAATCACATGGCGCCGTATTTCGGAGCAAAAGTAATTTATTTAGTCTAATTCAATTGTGTACAATGAAATAGAGCCGGTAACAGCGTGGAAACTTACCCGTTTTTCTCCTCAGGACTGCTGAGACTTTTCTGGTGCGCTTGACAGTGTCCTACATAGATGGCCGGCTGTTCCTTAATTAAATGGCTCCGAACGTCTTAACTGGCCGATGGCAACGAGTCGTTTTGCGGGGCTGTTATTCCTCATGATTTCAGGTGAAATCAGGTGTATCCCCGGAGACATTTAAGGGCCCTCTCTGTCTTTATATGTCTACGACAAATCCACTGGAGTTTCTTCAAAAGTGCAGTTACGCCGGCACAAACGAAACTAAGCTCTACGGAGAGGTAGCCAAAAATCCCTCAGGGTGGAAATGCGTTGGAAACACAGACTAGTTTTAAGCGTGGCAGCCAAAGTTGAATTCGGATAAATGTGAAACATTGCGAATAATCGATGAGCGAGATAAGTCAGTGGAGAGCAGAACCGGGTTACTACAAATGGTGAAACACTACGGAAGAACTTGAATCGAAACGAACGAGATCCACCCTTAAGGAAAAGTTGCAATTCAGACTGTCTCTCTGTAACTGCTCTAAAATTTCTTCTTTTGTAAGAATTGTCCGCGATTTACAAGCAATCCGGGGCTTTCTGTCAGACCCGCAACACTAGCAAGTTCAAACAAACATGCTCCTAAATCGTTCTAAGAGATTTCTTTATATGTTATAATTTTACGATTTTTTTTTCTTATTCGTAGAATTACTAGATCATCTTACATAATTTGTGGAGATCCTCTTAGTCTGTAGTTGTTTCCTTGTCCATTTGTTTTCGGGAGTTATTTCACAAAAGGTCCACCTCTAAAACTCTCCTTTCAAGGCAATCTTTGTGTCATGTACTTCAAAGAGGTTTTTCCTTTGGCGTTTTGAATAAAGTCCGTATTAATGAATGTGTTTATTTAGGTACGTAAAGTTTGTGCTTACCGTTTGGACTCTGGTAACATATACAATTAACCTGTGCTTATCCGGTGATTGACGTCGCAGTCCTTAATAATTACAGATTAAAATCTTTCAGAGACTCGTCTCGGCGATTTTCTTATTTTCCGTCTGTGATATTTGTCCTTTTATTTCTCACTTTGAAATTGTTGATAATGGGTAAGGTAAAAGAAAAAGCTTTTAGCTGATAACAGCCAGCGGCACGGAAGGCGCAAACTTTGAGGCGCCTTTGCATGCAGCGCCAACACTGAAAAATTAAAGTAAATTGTGCTAGTAATCAACAGATAAGAGATTTGGCCAAGACAGTACAAATGCAAGCCGCGTTGTTCTCGTTGGTGAGTCTGCGACACAGAAAAGCCGCCATGGGGTACTCGGAGGTTTCCCCAATTGCTTACGCTGCTATGTGTTTGAGCGCGAGCCAGGAAACTGGGACTAGCACAGGAATTCGAAGCTAACCGATAAACGTGTTGTGGAAAAATCACGTGAAACGGCTAACTCATATTTTGATTTCCCTACTACAGTTTTTACGCGGTCCCTTCGCAGTATTAAAACGCTTTCCCAGTTAGGATGTCACAACAAGAAGGAAAAGCCACATACAACATGTCAACCACAAGAGAAAACTTTCTTTGTTTTCTTCTATTTTGCGCGAAATGTTCACCACTAGGGCTTGTATTGATGTACTCACGACCCACTATGACCACGTCCACACACCTAGAACGTAGACATAAGTCTTGATTTTAAAAATATCGAGAATGGCATAGTGGCGGAGGATAAAAATAATCGCCCTATCTTTCGAGACCTTGTTTTGACATACCTCGAGGACACATGTGCATTAAAAGAACTTCATTGATTTATTTGGTGAATTCCTTTACACCATGATGAGTCCGATTATATAGATTCTCTATCCACACGTTTTTATATTTCCAATATTTTAAGCATGTCTTCCCAAAGCCCCTTCCAAAATGCTTAAGACCAAAGTAACTATAATCTGGTTCCCCTTCGGAAAAACTTGTTTGTACCACAGCTAGCGTTTGACGACGTATTATAGTTTCTGTGAGTAGAGCAATTCATAGGAGATGTTCGAAGTGTCCCTAGCTGTCGTTGAACTGTTTCGTTCTCTGCAGTCTCCGCCATGTTATTTCTTGGTATGTGGTCTTTGATATCCAAATGAGAAAGCCTCTCTGATTGAAAACAAAACAAGATGAATAGTGAGATAAAACACTCCAATCAATCTACAATGGAAACACTAGAGTGTAATTTTCAAAAGCTTGCGGAGTAATGGAAGGAGTATTTGGGGGGTTTCAGGTTACCTACGGGTGCTAACTCTGTCGGTGACGAAATCTTGACGCAGATTTTGAAAAAAAAAAATTGTGAAATTAAAAGCAAACATTTAAAAATGTTCCAACAATTTCAGGCTCTACTCATAAAGTATTTAATAGTTGTAACTTCAGTTTGGATAAGCGTATTATTGCAAAATGATTACAGATAAGTCTCTACAAAAGTCAATCAAATTTAGGAACGGAAAATGATGGAGGGGTCCAAACTTCTCGCAGATAAGAGCGCTCAATGACTAGATTAAGACCTAAGATGAGAACTATTTTCTTAGGTGTAACGGATTTATTACATAAAAGTCGCATAGCTCTAACCTAAAATGTTTCCTTTACACAATGGACAGGTCCTCTTTGCCAGCAACCAACGATCCACGCATTCACAATGGAACTCGTGATCACACTGCAGAGTGCGCACAAGCTGAAAATAATTAAAGTAAGGTTACTATTCCGCAAACATTTACTGCGCAATTCCATAACTTTTTATAGTTCCATTACCCCAGCCATCAATCCAATTAACAAATGGTAAACACCACAGCGTACACTATTGAGTTATGGATGCACGCGGGAGGTTGCTAAGCACGAAAGAAGCGTAAAAGTCGCGCGAGGTTCGCGCGAGGCGATAGCCGAGAGCGACTCTAGCTTCTTGAGTGTTTAGCAAACCTCCCAAGTGCATCCATAACTCAATAGCCACTCACTGTGGCGTTTACCATTTGTTTTATAACACAACATTGATACATTGCAGCAAAAGAGTTTTCTTTTATTTAAGAATCTTACGTGACCAGAAAAAACAAGCGCACGCGGAAAACTAATCTTTGCATTTGGTTACG